AGAAAAATATTCATACTCTCAAATAATCAACCACTATTTAATATGTTCTAATATCAATTAAACATTTTAACTCTTAGCAATGATCTGTGTGTGAAAGTTCAACCTTGGAGAGAAAATAAATGAGCTAAACTGAGCTGTCAACGGAGATGTTCTGGGATGCATCTCGTCTTCAAAGTATGGCGCTGCAGAGAGAACAATATTTAATTAAATCTATACAATCAAATTAGGAAATTTAATTTTCACGGTGAGCGTCTGACATCAGTTATTAACACTCAAATAAACTTATAATTGATTTTCCTTCCTAGTTATTCTATAATTTAGACAGTTCGTTTAGAATTCAGGGAAGAAAGACGCCATACGCACACAGCTTGAAGCAAACATTTTTTTGTGTGTGTGTCGCAATGTTTCGGTGAATTTTCCTATAACTTACATTAAAAATAAAAGCAATCGTAAAGAGTACTCAACAGTTTTTAAATTCTTAGAGCCGAAATATTTGAACTGTAGCCGTTGAAATTATTCGAATCAAAGAAAAGTAAAAGAGATGATTATCTCATCTGTCATGCAAGAACTGTAATTTCATAACCAACTTTTTAAAATACAGAAACAAATTAAATAAGAAGGGAACTCAGGAAGATATTTCATGTATCTCAGGGTAAATAAAAAAAAACAGGTATCTCCTTTGATGTTCAATTTAACATTTGATTGGCTCGACGTAATAAACTGGTTAACAAATTAATTAGGTGTTTCAACCCACCTACTACAAATGATTTATTCAAGCCCTGTAACTTATTAATTGATTTAAATGTAAATATAAATATATTAAACTGTGAAAAATTAGTACTTTCCACAAAATGTTAAAAGCAGTAGAGTACATTTTGGATTTTTTTCTTTTTCTTCTAGTATTCCATCATGTGCCATCTTACACCCTTTCATAATGAGTTTAGAATTTAGAATATTAATTTTCCCATTTGAAGTTGTACTCTCAAAGTTGTCGCAACACATAAACCAGTTTGTTGCTACGTACAGTGAAAAAAGTGTAGCTGAAATATGGTTATATATGTACACTTCTTACTATAATTTAGAAATTTGAAAATTAGCTTATTTGGGCTCAGAATAAAACTTACATTTTGCAGATTAAATATTTAATTTACTTGAGAAAATTCATCTAAAGTGTTAGTTATCACGTGACTAGTTTTCATATTCTCGTACATATAGTGATGTAAACATATAAACAAGATATTTTCTACTTATCTTTTAGATTTTTTATTGACGGTTGCTTTACTACCCTTACTTCTTGCTGCTGGACTTTACGTGTATAGAGTAATACCGCATTTAATTAAAACCTTAATGGACGAAACTGATCTGTGGGAATATAGAAAGTCCTACATTGATAACAGCATTATTAGGGCCTGGTATTTACTAATATTTAGCGTACCGGGCTGCGTATTAGAAGGTTTAGGATTCGTGCCACGATGCTGCTGAACACACTATGCATTTTCTGTTGTGGTTAGTTATAAGAATGGGAGTCAATCGTGTAACTTGTATTTGTATTCAACATTCTGAAGGAGTTATTCCAGTAAATTTTGCAAATTGTCATCAAATTCGCAAACTGATCAAACAGATTTGACTCTCTAGCCTATAAAAATATTATTTTTTGTTGAATAAAATCAGTAAGTAAATCAGCATTTAGTGCAAGTAAACAGTCTGGTATTAGGATAACGATATATTATTTTCTTTTTCCTATAGGTGGGGTGACGAATGATATATAACATTTATTTTTTAATTGTAAAATCAAATATTTTTCTTTATAGATAACAATAGCTTGAATCTTAAAAGCAAAGAAATTACTTTCTATTGCTAAATGTAATTTTACTACCACGTGAAGAGAGTGATCGTCAATATTCTTTAGAGTGCTTGTATATAGTTTACACAGTTTGTTGAATTTTGCGCAAAGCTACTGGAGGGCTATCTTCGCTAGCCGTCTTTACTTTAGAAGCGACAGACTAGAGGGAAGGCAGCTAGTTAACATCACCCACTGCCAAGTCTTAGGCTACTCTGTTACCAACGAACAGTGAGTTTGACAGTCACATTATAACGCTCCCATGGCTGAAAGGGCGAGTGCAGTGATGGGATTTGAACCCTCGACCCACAGATTACGAGCCGAATGCACTAACCATCTGGCCAGGCCCTAGAATGTATTTTTATGTCTATTTAGAAGCATATATAATAAGTGTTGTACATTTACCAAGTAATCCCTGTGGTGCCAATCAAATCCTAATATGGCTATTACACGAAAAGGTAGAGTTTGAGCATCGACAATTTTCTTACTGTGTATAATATAGTTGGTATGCTTTTACAGGGTACGTGGAAATTATCAATTGATCTGTTTAATATTAAGAAAATTTGATTTAAAAATTATTATATTTTTATTCATAGAATCTCACTTCAGTTAAAGGTATTGAGAAAATGTATTAAGTAAAAAACATCGATTCTATACAGAATTAAATACATAAAAGCCACCCACAATCGCCCTATTTCCGAAGTGCAAAAAATCCCCAAAAACTCGACAATTAATCACGGCAACTACTTAAGAGAACAACAGAACTTCCCAAGTTTTATAATGTTAAGTTGTAGGGTTCCGAAGCATGGTATAGATGAGAGTAGTAAGGAAGAACGAAACAAAAAGAAAACCGAAAACAATAAGTCTGTCTGAGCATGAAGGAAACTTAATTAAACGTCCATGAGTGGGCTTTTGGTGGGATGGAATTAAAGAGAAGACATCAGCTTGAAAGCTCAAAAACCATGTTACTTCGTTAGCGCGAATTTCTTTTAGAAATTTACTGGAAGATGCCCACTGTTTTTAGTCTAAAGGATGACTTACCAATAATTTAGTATTAAAGGTGCATTTATACTGATGTTTCTGTTTGGTTTTCCAGCTTTTGATAATCTTTTTTATTAAGTAAAGAAAGAATAGTTAATAAAATAGATCAAAGATGTATGAGTAAAATGGGCATTGATTGAGTTAAAAACCATGCCATCTCTAACATTATATGTGCAATAGTTAAAGCTAGGCTATCGGCCGTTCGAAAAAGTTCTTGCTAAAAGCATTGCACGAGTACGCGGCTATCTTGTCGTAACCTTACGTTTTCTATAAAAACCATCATCTAGATTGATGGACAAAGAAAGAAGAACGGTTACATTAGGTCTGCAACCTCATATCTTAACGCATTGTTTACGACCCCAGAGGCTTCGTTCCTCTCTCTCGTGAAGTCACGTGATGCGCTTGCAACTGAGAGATAGAGACTTTTTAGAATTATTTGCGTGCACACAATAGAGAGAAGAGATAGGGAAAAGTAAAATGTTTTACTTTTTCTTTTGAAGCCGTGATGTTTACGTTAAGTACCGTTGAAAGTATCGTGTAAGTGCCAGTTTTTCGGGCTATTAGCTTTATTGTTTTATATAACAAAGTCCATGTCTGTAACTAAATTGTAAAAGTCAGTACGGACTGTGAACACGTCATGTTATCTCGCGCTTACACGAGACTTGGTGATTTCAGAGGAAGCAAAGGAGAATTCCTTTCTTAAGAGATATTTTACTGGTTATTTGGAATAAAGCCTTTTGTTATCGAACTTATGGAAACGTAACGAGTTTTATACGTGAGAAAATGGGCGTATATTCGCATTTATGTCTGTACTAATGTAGAACAGGGAGTGGAGATTTTTAAGTCCATTCATTTCACTCGTGTTAGGATAAGAGCGATCTGCTTTTGTTTTTTGAATCATGTATTTGTCAAGAGTGTTAATGCTTTTTTCTAATACAGATCTATAAAGATGCAAAAATTCGACATTAAAATCTTTAAATAACTTTTAATATAACTGATTTGGTTAAATAAACTTACTTTAGTCAATGGAAAATAAATGGATATTGTTAATGGTAGCGTGTGAAAAAAACAAATTGTTCATAAATCGTCAATAATATTTAAAGACTAAAAAAGTGCACCTAAAATTATATTAGTAAGTATATATAATTAAATATTAGTAAGTATAGATAATTATATATTAATAAGTATATATATATATGTATATATTAGTAAGTATATAAGTATATATATTAGTAAGCATAGATATGTATATATTAGTAAGTATATATAAGTATATATTAGTAAGTATATATATAAGTATATATTAGTAAGTATATATATATATGTATATATTAGTAAGTGTATATATAATTCTATATTAATGAATATATATAAGTATATATATTAGTAAATATATAACACATATTTTACGTAAAAACACTTGATTAACACGTGCAATGAATTCCATAATCAAACGAGTTAATTATATACAAAGACATAAAAAGTATAAAGAAATGTTATATTTACATATAAAACATTTCAAAGGGACTTGACCAAAATATTCCTTCATAAATTATACCCTAAAATATGAAAAATGTTAAATAGTGAACTTCTGAGAAACACATCTGGGGACTTATATCTCTATAAACCGAATTTCGATACCCGTGCTGGGCAGAGCACAGATAGACCATTGTGTAGCTTTGTGCTTAACTTGTGTTTTGAATTTCGCGCAAAGCTACACGAGGGCTATCTGCGTTAGCCGTCCCTAATCTAGCAGTGTAAGACTAGAGGGAAGGCAGCTAGTCATCACCACCCACCGCCAACTCTTGGGCTACTCTTTTACCAACGAATAATGGGATTGACCGTCACATTATAACGCCTCCACGGCTAAAAGGGCGAGCATGTTTGGTGTGACGGGGATTTGAACCCGCGACCCTCGGACTGCGAGTCGAGCGCCCTAACCACCTGGCCATGCCGGGCCACAAACAAACAAACCGTTACAGCATGTTTTTCCCAGCACGGGATGTCATTACAGGTTATCATTATTTGCTTTAAAAAAATCTGAATTTTTATGATAATTTTAGAATTTTCTATATATTTTATACCTGTAATATTTTTCCACGAATGCTTTCTTCAACAGGTATCTCTACTTTCTCCGACTACAGAGCTCCTATGATAGATGTCGAACCTCCTTCGAAGCTGACTTTCCTCAACACTTCGGGAGCGTCACTTCATTGTTCGGCTTCAGGAAACCCTATCCCGGATGTTTACTGGATTATAACGGATGGAACAAAGGTTACCGATCTACCTGGTCTACGAGTTTCCATGTCTAACGGTACATTGTTGTTTCCACCATTTCATTCAGAAAATTACCGGCAAGATGTTCACTCCACTCTTTACCGCTGTGTGGCGTCTAATTCTTTGGGGAAAGTTGGAAGTAGGGATGTCCAAGTCAGAGCAGGTATTTCTACAATTTTCCAATCAATTACGCTTTATTTCGAACAAACTTTCTGAGTAACATAATAGTGTCTATGAATACTCTATTCTGCATTGTCACCGCAAAGAATCGTATTATTTTCAGACTGTACGTTCATTTTTTTTCCAATTTAGATTTTGTCGTGTTTATTAACATATTTTTTCCATTGTTATATAGATGTATTTTTAACAAAAGAAAAGCAGCATTAGATGTTCGTCATTGATATAAGTAGTGTAAATATTTACGAACAAATATATGTTTATGACGTTAATGATCTTTTTTCTTTCACAGTTGCACAAGGTAAATCATTTTTAAAGGCAAGAAAAATATTTTCGCTGACACTAAAAATATTACACAAAGACTGTGTTGTAGGAATACAGCAATAATTAACTCTAACATTTTACCATATACTGTTTCCATCATATTGAATGATCGCTAAAATCTACAAGGTTTTGCACTACGAGTGTTTTAAACAAAGTGGTGTTTAAGTTCCAAGAAACTCATTCCTGTGTTCGGCAAGCTTTGTATACTCTGCTCTTGCGCAAGTGCTTGATGTAGGTTTATTCCGAACATTCCAGTGCTCTGCAGGGATTCCTAAAATGAGCTGGATCACTGATTTTGAATGTAACACAACATCTCCTCTCGATGTATCTCGCCCGCTAAGGTGCACAGAATATCGTTTCAAATGCATTCGCTCAATATTTTAAAAGTCTTCATTTCCATTTGAAAGGCTGTGGCTGGCGCCTGAAAATGCATTTCACTTTTGTGTTTATGGAAGCAGGATGAAATACGGAGATAGTTCAATATTTTTACTAGTTACTATCGAATTGTGCAGTATATACGCAAATAACAAATAAAAACAACAATGATCAATAAAGTTAAGAACAGTAGGAATGTGATGTTTATTACACGACTCTATGGCGCTTGGGTGCAAATAAAAAGTGATGAAATCAAGCCATTAAAAACTGGACGTAATAAAAATTTTGAAAATGTTTTATAGTGGAGGAATTTCTTTTCGCTGTTTCGACACGTCAAATACATTTCCAATTATTAACTCTGGAATGATTGACGAAGGTCCATGTGAATCCCATCGGGATTTTTTTACACATTTATCTAAACTATTTATGTGTTAAATTGCTCTTGGATCCATGATTTTGTTGATTACAGGGTTTCTTATAAGATAAGAGTCATTCAAAAATGTAGCAAATAGCATAAAACTTGCAATCAATTCCACTGTGTGGTTACACTAATTTTTTTGCTCATTTTCTTAGTTTCATTGTTGTAGAATCTAAAAAACAAAGCGAACGATAAAAAAAAACAGGTCAGTAACTTTACGCCTAAATCATAATCGACCCCACCGTTAAATTACTGTAACAAGGTTATTAATTCTGAATAAAGACTTTTGTAATATATATATATATATATATCGGAATTTATTCTAAATACATGTTGTTTATGCCTTTTTTGACTTATTTTTGGTCATGTCTTGACCCCTATATATTTTGGAAGAAATTGAAGTCAAGCTAATTGAAGTAAGAACTGAGTGTGGAAGAACTTTAAATATTAGGTTAAAAGCTGTTTCTATTCTCGATCATCAGCTATATGCTGGTGAGCAAAGTTTTTCGTGTTGGACTCCCATTGTCTGTTTGGTTGCTATGTAATAATTTTCCTTTCATAACTTAGAAGCGTTACAGGTGTGAAATCACACATCTTTACACAGAATAGATGGAACCTGAACCACCCAAGTACATCCATATTTTTCGCATGTAACAGTTTGAATGGCATTTCAAACAGCATTATAAACAAGAACATACACTATTATTGAATGTCACTTTTGTCCGTTCATATAATGTTTATAGCATTTCAGTTTTAAAATATTCACAGTATATTAAATAAAAAACGTTCTAAACAATAGAATGTTTTATGAAAAATAACTGTATTCGGATCCAATAAACATAAATTCAATAACTATAAATGTTGTAGCAGTCGGCACAGGAAAACGTATTGGCAATCTTATTCGTAGAGATTAAATAATGAAAGTGTTTTAACCATTCGACCGTGGTTTTTAGATTTCTAAACAACGTTCCACTGAAATAACTCAGCGTTTTCATGTAGCCACTGTATTGAAAAACATCAGTAACCTTTCCATTATGGTATGTAACAGAACGTCAACCATAGACTCTCGGATTCTACACTCCGCTTGGCCACGCCCGGCCCATATAGAATAATAATATAGGCCAGAGTTTCACCATTTAAAATCCTTAAATAAAATTTCCTTTGTTACCTAAATTCAAGGATTTAAAGCTTGCATCTTTCTTCGCTCGTTATGTTAGTAGTGTTGATGATGTTCAAAATCTGAACTCTCTGTTTTTACTAGTTATCCAAACGTTTGTTCATCACGTAACTAAACTGTTTGTACAGTAAATTTCAGAACATTGATTGAACTTAAAATGTTTGTCGTTCACTTTCCCTCTCTGTTTCATGATTTAATTCAAAAGATGGGTTAAAATGTGTGCCATCATTGAGCGACTCAATGATGAGAAGATTAATAAATGCGCTTTTAGAAAGATTGGTAGACAGATAGATAGACAGAATAACATTCAGATGTTAAAATGGAAAACAGGCACGTCAATAGAAGACCTATGTGTTTCTGAGGTAATGTTTGTTTTACTTAACATGGCTGTCTGGACTTAAAAGAGCGAGGGTTTGTTTCTGCAAACAATCACTACAAGAATAAGTTGTCACGACGACGAAACTGACTTCAACGGCTGCATCTGTTCGTATCGCATATACAAACACACGCAATTTGCATGGATCGATTTCACAACGTCGTTGCCGTTGCCATTCCTTGTTGTTTGTGAATAAATAATAGAGCAATTGTGTAGAGGCATACAACTGTGAAATGTTTAGTCACGCTTTGAACCTAAAGAATATTTGTAAATATAGACTCTGTAGGAATTCACGTTTATTTCACATCGTCTGTTGTGTTTATTGTGTAAGAAGCATATAATGAAGCAAAACAACACCTAAATTTATCGTCTATAATCCTGTAAAATGTATAGCAAGATTCTTTAAGCTTCTTAAAGCATATCAGCATCGAAGCTCGACATCTACGTGAAAAGTAAATAAAGGCTATGTTATGTAAATTTCTATATGGCAAAATGATTATTCTACTTAAATGCTCATGTTGTTTCTTATACGACCGCGTTCGTGGTCTCTGCTGACAGGTATAAATGCATTTGTTAACAATTCTACCTAATAAGAAGTGAAATGATCAACACTACTGAAACGTATTTTACTGTCATATTTCCTACGGTTGACTTTACCCAAAATCCGTGTTCTGAAAGTAAATTATATAATATTCACGAATTGAAATGACTTCATTTTGACATGTCATTACTTTAGAGAGAAAGATAAGAAAGAGAATGATAAAATATGATATATTTCTAATACTTGGAAATATTTCTAAAGGTAAGTATAAATTAATTCATGACATTTCACCATTTTAGGTAAAATTTGTACTTCGTGAGTTGGAATTTAAGTTCGCATGGTGACAACAAGACGTTCCCGGGTTTCATATACCAATTTCTGTTACATGAACATTTTATAGATCAAACCATGCCTTTACTTGATGTTTACATTAAATGTACATATACATGTGGACTGTTTATAGGTCTAAATTTTTTTACTGACTCACCAAACACATCAACCGGTGTTTAAAAATCAGTGCTAGGAAATGTCCATCGTTTAAAAACTATTCATAACAAAATATATATAAAAATATGTTAAAAGTATTGTGCATACCATTGTACTAGACAGCTCACAAAATGCGTTTTTAATGTACACTTGTGAAATAGAATGTGAAATTCAAACCTCTGATAAACAACAACATTTAAGGCTACAAGGTAAAAGCAATAGATACACCTTTGTATAAGATTTTGTCATTTCATAAACAACAGTTAGTCTCCATGTAATCTTATAAGTTATAAGTTGCAAGAAATATCCCTGTATTATATGTACAGTTTGGTAATTACATTACTTTTTGATATCCTGTTTGAATGTATACTTTTTTACGTCGTACATCTTCAGTCAAGAATAACAATACAGTTTGTAAAATGCAATATATATATATATATTTTTTTTTTCATATTGAGCATAATAAAAAAAATTCCATGCACAATGGCTCCTTTGTTAACAGAGCCCTCTGTGAATGACATGTATATGAATGAGCAAAAATTTTAAAGTTGACTATTTTAATCAATTTTGTAACTTTGATTATATTGAGCTTAAAATGCTTTTAACATATTATAAAATATTGAAATATAAATTACTACGAATGTCTCTTCATAACGATTAAGAATATTCTTCAATTAATACAAATATCTGAATGTACAGATTATGACTTTTTTTGTTGCGACATTTGTATTCATGGCAAAGCTACTAAAATATCTGTCAGCAGCACCCTACAATCCTCTCTAAGGGTTGGATATTAGTATTGATAAAATAACCTAGATTACAGAGCTGACATCTTAAGTTCTTACACTGAGTAATACCTTCTTGTCTATATCCAGTATTATATTTATAACAAAGTAAAAGGTTGAAGTTTATAGGTTGTTTATAAGCTATAATAACATTAATATTACGACAGTATGTTTTATGGTGTTATACGTAGAAGACTTCCACTCTTTAATATTAACATGTACCTCAGGGGTAAATGTAGCAACAACTCTATTTATTATCGATTTTGTGAATATTTTTACTGGGATGTATGTGTTACCCAAGATCATCCTTGGTTTATAAGTAAATAATTTTAAAATATTTAGGCATTTTGTTCAGTATACCAGGGCAGAAAGACCAACTTCAGGTAGCTGGGCTTGTCTCAGCTCACTTGGTTTATACCTGAACAAATGTTTAGGAGAAAAGGAGGAGGATGGGGAATTAAGAACTATTTAGGTAAGGATTTTAGTTCTGTTGAACATCATTTT